AAGTGTCTTTAAAAAAGTCTTTCATTTCATCTTACAGCTGTGTCAGTGGAACAGATGATATCAAACACCAGAATACAGTGGAGCTTTTTGGGGAGATTGACCCTAAAGTAAGTTTTTAACTTGTGCAGACAGTTCAGGTTGGACCCTGCGTTTCATTGTTAGGAAACCTTCACCAGTTTCTCCTTCTGATATACAGGAATCCAAACACAGACGCACTGACAGGTCTGTGTTGTGTTGTTTACGAAAAGCAGATCCTGGGAAGTCATGGCCAAGACTTACCAAAGACAAGGCAAAGGTAACTCTCAGCAGTATAACATTTACAAAAACTCAGAACACATCAAAATCTCATAGTATACATTATTACCTTATTGTTAACATTGTCAGTTACATTGACCCTCAAAGAGGTAAGATCAGGGTTTCAGTTGAAAGGTGGAGCATGTAATGCATATGTAATTTTTTTTTTTTTTTTTAAATGGAAGTAGGTTTAAGAGTAAATGACATTTTTGGGAGAATCAGGTTGTTCATCTTTCATTCAATAAAAGAATTAAGAAAAAGGAAGTAGATAGGGGTTCGTCTCCATCAGGTTGCACTTTTATTAAGTATTTTACAACTTGCAACTTACTGTTTAAAAATAAAATAAAATGACTCCACAGTTTCATCTGCTCCGCTATGAAGGACTGTATTATAAACAGTAAGCTCTCTGTTGCACAAACAGTTTGAAACCATTTCCACATTACCCCGAGCATTGTTCTGTTTTTAAAAAAAAAAAAACCTAAGTAAATATCAAAATTATAAAGTGACTGAATTTTAAACTTTGGCTAACCAAAACATTTTAATCTACTTGCTTTTAGTGCAACTGGCTAAGTGTGGATTTCAATAATTGGAAAGACTGGGAAGATGACTCAGATGAGGACTTGTCAAGTTTTGATAAATTCTCAGAGGTAAGTGTGTCAAACATGCACAGTCTGCTCATTGTTTGACTATGTTCAGCTAAACTGACATGTTGATTTGTGTCCTGCACCTTCCTCCAGATGATGAATAGCATGGGTGGGGATGATCTACCAGATTTAGATGGAGCAGATGAGGAGGTATAATATTTGTTTGTTTTATATA